CCCCAAAACCCCAAAACCCCAAAACCCCTAGATGATGTCGATAAAGATTAGATGATTTAATATTAATAATAATAATATATTTAATTTTTAAAGTACAAGCAAACTTATAATGGGAAACGCAAATAGAAATGTAATCTTATTTTTCAAGACTTACCAAATTCCTTAATCATTTATTATAGGGTGGAAATAGAGCATAGAAGTATACATTATCAATCAATTAATTCATTTTTTAGTTATCTTCCAAATGTTCCAGCAGCTGGTAGACCAAATGAGGTAAGCATTCAGAGATTAATATATTAAAATGTTAATATTAAAGAGAGCATCTTAGCAATCAGAAGAGGGAAAAACTCAGAAAGTTGTGGTTTTAAAAAGTCATGTTAACGTTAGAAAGGAATCAATAAAGATTGTAAGATTGATTTCATCTAATTATTTGTATCATTAGGTTAAAAGTGGAGACAATCAATTTTATTTAGATATGAAATTTGATGCTATTTATGAATGCGAGATTACAGTCTTTATTTGTACTTAAGAGTGCAGAAATGCTTCAAACATTCCACTTTAGTAATTTTATCAAAATTTTAATTGAATTAGTTTTTATACAAGCCCAGACTAGCCAAATCCTCATTCATATAAATTCTCCAAAGGATTAAGATAGCAGTTCCCACCTTCAATTAGCAATATAAATGTGAATGAATATAGACTAGAAGATCTTATTAATACTAAGGGAGACTACTATCCAATCGTTATTATGATTGAGTCAAGGTATCCTTAAGACTACAGTGGAAGAGCGAAAAGATCCATTTAATACACCTATGGCTGCTTTACTCAAGAAACTCCAGGGCTTCTAAAGTACAAATTTTTGAATCAGAAATTCTTGGTAAGAACATTTCGTTTATCTAACAATTTCTAAAGTATAACAATGTTATCTTTGATATGAGTGATATTTTTGGTATTGATAACGCTGCTGCCAACATCGCTGATGAAGCTTAAAAGGAATGCGTAATTTGCTATACAACAACTAAAGACACTGTGGTTCTACCTTGCAGACATATGTGCTTATGTATTCAGTGCTCTCAAATCGTTAGAATGCAAACTAATAAATGTCCTATTTGCAGAACTTAAGTTAGTAGCTTCATGCAGATTAAGATTGAAGGTAAGAAGCAAAACGCAGATGATTCATCTCATAAACTACTCCCCTCATCGAATATTGAATGATAAAGTTGAGGTTGATTATAGCTTAAGAGAAAACAAGACTTTATCTTTATTACTTAACATTTAAATTGATCTATTGAAGATTACACCCATAAAAGTTAAATTTGCATTTTATTAATATTTTATTCTCAAAAGCTATTAAGCTTTAATAAATGAATGAAAATTTAGCAATAAGGGGTTTCTTTTTGAGTGGGTTTGGGTTTTGGGGAG